GCCAGTTCTCATCTTCCAGCTCCCCAGATACTCCGCGTACTAAAGTTGTACTACAACTACGCCAGTTCTCATCTTCCAGCTCCCCAGATACTCCGCGTACTAAAGTTGTACTACAAAGTCACCAGTTCTCAGCTTCCAGCAGAGGGCTGCGCCGGATAAATCGACGCGCAATCTCCGCAGAGGGTTGCACCGGACCCGGCCAAAACGCACTATCGCCTGCATTTCGCGCCCTCGACACGCACGATCTCCGCAGAGGGTCGTGCCGGACCGGGCCAAAACGCACTCTCGCCTGCATTTCGCGCCCTCGACGCGCACGATCTCCGCAGAGGGTTGCGCCGGACCGGGCCAAATCGCGCTCTCGCCTGCATTTCGCGCCCTCCACGCGCACGATCTCCGCAGAGGGTTGCGTTTCGCGGTGCTCCGGCGGCACCGCCCCCGCCCTTAAGAGAGAAAGTAAAGAAGAGCGAGAGGTGAAGATGTGAGATGTAGATGTGAGGATGTGAAGATGAGCAGAGAAGTAGATGCGCAGATGTGAACATGAGTAGAGATGTACATGTGCAGATGTGAACATGAGCAGAGATGTAGATGTGAGGATGTGATGATGAGGAGAGATGTAGATGTGAGGATGTGAAGATGAGGAGAGATGTAGATGTGCAGATGAGCAGATGAGGAGAGATGTAGATGTGCAGATGAGCAGAGATATAGGTGAGAAATGGTGAGAATGTGAATGTGGAGAGGTGAAGATGTGAAGATGTATTCTGCAGATGTTTTTTTACGAAGAACCCTTCGCAGACGCTCTCGGGAAAAAAACCTCATATATTTTGCATAACCACTTATAGCCTTATCGGTTTTCTTTGTTTACTAGTTATCGTTTTACAACTTTTGGAAATCTTTATACAGTCTCTTATCGTTTCCCAGCCAACCAGACATGTCCCTGCCTCAACTGCAAACAAGTCGGTCTCTGTTGTGTGTGTATATGTGTGCGTGTACTATTATGTGAGCAGTATGTGAGTATGTCATTGCGTTTTCTTTCCAACGATTGCAGTGCTGCTGCTGTCGAGTTCTTTCCTTGCCAACCATTCTTCAAAGAAAGTTCAGCATGGCATATGTTTTTCAGTTGCAGGAGCACTGACCACAAGCATGCGTACATGGGACATGGTCTTCCCGAGGACTTTTTCGTGCATTTTTGTTATCGTTTCTGTTATCGTTTTGGAACCCCAAGTATTAACCCATTTTGGCGGCCTTGAGCGTAGATTTTCCGTGTCCGCTACCATGCTACTGGTACCACTGCAACCCTGTGACTCGGAAGTGCAGACATCTTTCGTATGAGAAAGGTCGCCTAAAGTAGGACACCTGAATCACAACTAAACTGAACTTGCCGCACCATGCTCACGACATGCTCAGGACTGAAGTGAAGGCATTTGAATTTGCAATGCTTCTATTCTCATGTTTACATATGTTTACAATGAATCAGCCATGGTTTGCTAAAACGGGACCACTCATTACATGTTTCCTTGGTCTTTTTTACATCACTTGAGGCCAAGGGTTGGTGACGAAAGGGTGAAGCGGGGGATATCCGGCCGAGAAAGGAGTCCAAATCCTGCCGCCACAGGAACAGTCAGCCCCCTGCCCGCGGAAATACACACGTCCCAGAGACGTCCCACAGACAAGTTGAACCCGCCGGGGGGTGGGGAAGGGGGCCCCCCTGTATATGAAGTTTTCACGCGATGCGGCGCTCTCGAGGATTCCAGCCCCTCACTTGCTAAAGCAAGAACAACTCCAGCTAGCTGGTGCTAGCTGCTTTCGCGACTTATCAAGAAAAATCCGTCTATGCCTGCTCCAGAAAGAGCTCACAATATTATGGAGAGCAGGAGTCTTGAGTGTGTGGCACTGCTCTGAGTTGCTCGTCCATAAGAACAGTGTAAGCCTGAACAAAGCCACAGCTCATGCTTTTTACAACTCTGGCAATGCCCGCCTGCTTGAGTTTGGTAAAGCCTGTCATTGCCATACAAAGCATGTACTGACTCAGTCACTGGATGGTTCTGGTTCACATACTATCACATACTTGGCTCACACATGCCAGTGATTCGTGCACGATCAGCATCTGTTGGCTCGCGTCCCAGTTTATCTGGATGTACAAAGGTTGCCTGACAAGCTTGAAGGAGAATGGTGCAAGACTTTTCTAGGTGCAGCAATAGCGGCTCTCACTTCGTCGTCAGGACTGCGCCGAGCTAGATGGACGCAACAAAGCATTTCATGAGGCTTGTGCCATCTTGTGGTACGCCTTCCGCGTTTGTGACGCGTCAAACTTGTTCATGTCAACCTCCACCGCTGCAATCCAAGTGCAGTCTGACTCTCATATTCTTTCCGGCCACCCTATTTTTATTCTGTCACAGCATGCAAATATCACATGACCTCAAACATCTTGAAGAGGTCTGTGCCATTTTCCAAGCACTGAACCTGCACAATGATGTGAATGTGTATTAAATCTAGCACTTGGGTTGATTCACTGCGGATGGTGGGAGATGAGAATGTGCAAAAAATGGTTATTGATGGGGACTAGAGTCTCTACAAGTAGCTGTCATCTCTAGCCGCTAGCAGGCCGCTAGCCTACGACAACTAAAGCAGGCTGGAACGGACCTGCTTTGGAACCGGGCGGCTGTCCTCACCCTGGTTGGGAATTACCTCATATGAGCTCATGAGAAACCACGGGGCGAAGAAATTGTGTTCATGCCGACAAAAGAAAGCTCTCTCAGGATCGCAGCTATTGGCATCAGCGGGTCCAGCCCTTCTTTCTTGCCAACCTGAGAAATGTCACAATGTGCAAAAAGTGCTTCTTATCTTCAAGAGTCGCCCCAACGATTCAAAGGTGTAACAAAAGGAATGCTCAAAATCAATGGATTGATGGTGGAAACCGGAGGCAGCAGGGAAGGTGATTTTCCCAGCCATCTTCAGGCTTCATCCACGCAGGAAGCGTTGGTTCGGGGTCTCTGACTCTGGTGTCCCCTCTCAAAGGAGATGATGCCTTTGCATGCAATTTGAGATTGGGGACATCAATGCTGATCGGCCTCAGCGACTGCATCATCAGCGCTTGTCTCAGGTGGCTGTTCTGGCCTCGGTTGAATTTGCTGCACTTCCTGTGATGTCTATTTCACTCTCTGTGGAAAACGACGCAGTTGATCTTTCTGAGATTGGTTCGTGGGGCCTTTCTCAGCTTGGGGAGCTGCCTGCACATAGCAAACATAGCACATACGACAGCTAAAGTTACTTGATGACAATTAAGTAAGTCTATCATTGAGAGGAACATGATGGAGCTTATGATGGAATATGAGAGGCACAGCAAGCAGACTGCAGTTGATGCCTCAGAAGCTGCAGGAGCAGCTGGGGCGGAGCCTCGAGAAGCAACACAGCTTTACGGGCTCGTTTTGAGTCACGTGGCAATGGCGTTCAAAACTGTTTGAGGCTTGGACCAGGTGCTCCAGCCTCAATGCACAAATCAAGGAAACCTTCTTGCACCATAAGGGGAGTCACTGTTCTACCTCTCTGGGGGTCACAAGAGGCAGTTTCATGCATTGAGGAGCACACACTTGCTGCTCCGCCTGCGATGATCCACAAGTCGCCCACGCCAAAGAGTTGGTCATTTGATGTCACTTGCGATCATCAGTTGGGTCGACTTTTGTTAGGCCATAAGCCGTAAGGAGTAAACTAATAAGTTATTGTATAAATAGAGTACTAGTAGCTGGGCCGCAGGAAAGCTCAGGCTTCTTTAAGGAAAATAAGATTCGGAACTCTCGGAGTCTGGCTTCCTGGCTGCTTAGCTGCACTCAATATGCTAAGCCAAGCATTCCCTCAGCTCAAGGCCTGCGCTATCTCCGCTGGCCTTGCAAAGGGTAAAGTGAGATTCAACGAAAACGAACAAACACTATGTCACTATGTGCTTTTTGTCTGGTCTCAAACAGCGCACAAGCACACAAGCAAACGCCTTTATTAAGTTCTACTAGCACTGTTTGTAATTACTTGATTTCAGGCCCTTGCATCTGGCCCAGGAGGCCGTGAGCCACCAAGCGCCTTATAGGATGCAGTCTTGATTCCAAAGGCCACAAAAAGCGAAGTCTGCCAAATGACTCAAACATGACTAAAGTCCTGTACTTTTAAGTCTCGATGCTTTGATTCCTTTATATGACTCGAAGGAAAGAAAGCTTTTGTGAAATGTATTAAGGCTGCGACACTTAATGGAATCATGGCGGCTTTCTCCTAGGCCCCACGTTTGAAACAGGGATGAAAGTGCGCTACTAGGTCGGAGGCCATCGCTGCTAGGAGCTACTAGGAGGCGATCGCTACTAGTAGCAAATAGCTACTAGTAGCAAAGCGCATTGCTACTAGTAGCAAGGACGCTACTAGGGTGGAGGCCATCGCTTTTAGGTTGGAGGCCTGTGCCTGTAAAGGCGGAACTGCGGCGCTGAGCGCCACACCGAGGCCCAATTGTGCCCCCGCCAGTCCCGCTTGAGATCGAAGTGTGATCGGCACAGCAACGTGACATGTTTTGCCTGGTCGAATCTAAGAACGTGACATGTTTTATCTTCAAGATCCTTTAGAAACATGTTGAAACAATAACAAAGCTCAGCAGTACTATATAATGCTATATACTTTATATATACACTATATACAAATATATATATATATACAGTATATGTGTGTGTACACACACTTTTGTAGTTGCACATCACTCGAACTCCAAAGGTCATGAAAGGGCTCACAGCTGCTTTTTGGTGTCGTAGCTTGTGCATTGTGTCTGGCTCTCTCTTGAAGAGAGCGACTCCTGAAATAGTCCTAAATCATCTGCATCCCCGTCGCAGCTTATTCAGGAGTGTCAGCAGCTTGTCGTCCCCGGTACCCAACCTAGGATTCGAGGTTAAAGTTTAAGCACTGAAACTCGGACTCTCTGGTTGAGTTTCAGCTTGAGCAAGCACATATCACAACATTCATTCACGTGGCATGCTGATCCTGCACTGATTCTTCTCTGACTTCATCATTTTAGAATCTGTCCGCCAGCCAGGGCACATCCCCGTAAAGAATGCCTCTCAACATGCTCATTAATGCATGATCATTATGCTGAATGTGCTCAAAGCGTGTTTCTGAGCCATCGACCGTGGTCAATCAAAGCAGCACGAATCGAGCATTTCCTTGCACGGGAAGAGTCAGGGCAGGATATTCTGCTCAAATGCAGCCCAATGCCTTAAGAGTCTGTGAGCCTGGCACTGGCATTGCACTTGCTTCCAAGAAGGATTGATAGAGCTCCTTTCAAGGAAGCTCATTGCCACTCAGCACAGAGTCAGAAAATAAGCGTACCACAGCATACCAACCACCTACCTCAAAGAAAACCTGAAAGAATGCTATCCAGGCTGGCTGTTGAGCGGAACATGTGGAAAGCAGGCCATTCTTTCCTCAATCTTCATGCCTTTCTGTTTGGCATGGAAACTCTGACAAAACGCGCTGTGCAAGAACGAAAGAGACATTGCGATCATCTTGATGCCGTCATGGCTGCTGTGCAGCAGTTGCACACAAACCCGAAAATTGAATCGACACGAATTGGTCTTGGCAACCACACTTCAGCCCATCTTGATGCATCTCAAATGCAGCATCCAATGGCTTTTGCCATGGTTGTGCAAGTGAAGACTGACCACAGTTACCCTAGCCGTAGAGATTTCTTGTTGTGGATTTGACCTCATCCTGCATGCTACGCACCCGTTCTGCAGCCTTTTCCAGGTACACTGAACCCTCCAAAGGAGTCTTCTGAGAAGAGCGATCCCATGCCGCTAGCATCTTGGCATCGCTGACCACTCGCCGCAGGTCCGCGCAACAAAAGCTATCACTGGCCTGAGCTGCAGATTGGACATTCGGCACTTCACGATTCTTTCCCAAGAGCTCCAGAGCTCCTGGATCTTCCCTGATGTACTTCTTGAGAATCTCTCTCTTCTGTCTTGGCTCTGGCAGTTTGGTCTTCAACCACAGCTCAATGCGGCCACTTCGGAGAAGCATGTCTGCCATCCAATGAACATTCTGCCCCGTCAAGATCACCACCACGTCACCATTTTCCCTTTGTCGTTTGCCACGTGATGTCAAGCCATCCATACGACCGAGTAGGAATCGGAAAACGTCAGAGCCACGATGTCCATCAAGGGGTCGCCAGCCACCAATGACAATGTCTGCATCATCGATAAAGACCACAGCGGGAGCAGCGGCTTGAGCTGCGGCAAAGACCTTGATGATGTCAGCCTATGCGAAAAAGCTTGCCGTTGCCGTTGCAGAAAGTCTATCAAGACTGTACGATAGTAGCGACAATGAGGAACAACCGACTTGCAATAGTCCATATGAGTATTGCCTAGTGAGCCTAGTAATGCGCAAAATTGTGCAATTATGTTTACATCTTCTGCAATTTACCTTGCGCATCCTTGCGCTGCATCTCTACATGGGCGCCTGAACCATCATCTCACGTACCAGGAAGAATTTGCCCTTCAGGCGGTTGGCAAGCCATCGTCCCACTGTGGTCTTTCCAGTTCCAGGCTGTCCGTGAAGTAAGACGCCGCGCTTTGGCGTCAGACCAAACTGTTTGGCCTTGTCTGGATTTTCCAATGGAAAGAGGACATTGCGCTCCAACTCTTCCTTGATGTTCTCAAGTCCTGGGAATTCTGCCAAATCTACAGGCTCTACCTCTTCAGGAGCCACAGCAGATACTGAGACAAGCTCATCTCTGATGGATGAGACCAATGCCTTTGTTGAGATCTCCCCTTTAGACAGTACTCGCGCTGCACTGGCTTTGAGGTCTGCTGGAGACAGCTGAGAATGCAATGCATAAATAGCTTCTGCATCCACTTGCTTCGCTGACATTGCATTCAGCACCGCCGCATAGTCTTCCACCGTTGACTCTTCCAGGGTAATAGTCAACGGAGCCTGCCAGCGTAATGGAATGGTTTTAAGCCTTTTCACGAGCCACAGTACTTGGTCGCCTAGTGGAGGTGGCGTCACTGACTTCTAGACTTTCAACAAAGAAGTCAGGGGATTGCAAATTATCCAAGGAGTAATTAGCCCAGCTGGAGACCCCAATAGCAAGATACAAACCGGGACAAAAAGAAAAATCTGGAAACAGCTGCTGTTTTCAACACATCGACCATCTCTTCCTTGGACACCATCATCACATAACCGGGACACCATCACAAAATGACCAGGGCACCATCAAAACATGACCGAGACACCGTCACAACATGATTGGGACACCATCACAACATAACCAGGACACCATCACAAGGTGACCGGGACACCAGCATGACATGACGGGGACACCATCACAACATGACCGGGACACTATCACAACATGACCGGGACACCGTCACATGACCCGGACACCATCAAAACATAACCGGCACGCCGCCAAAACATGACCAGGACACCGACCGGGACACCATCAAAACATGACCGGGACACCGTCACAACATGAGCGAGACACCATCACAACATGACTGGGACACCGTCACAACATGACTGGGACACAATCACAACATACCATCACAAGGACCGGGACACCAACATGACATGACGGGAAAACCATCACAAAATGACCAGGACACCATCACAACATGACCGGGACACCGTCACATGACCCGGACACCATCAAAACATAACCGGCACACCGCCAAAACATGACCAGGACACCATCACAACAGGACCGGGACACCATCAAAACATGACCGGGACACCGTCACAACACGACCGGGACACCATCAAAACATGACCGGGACACCATCACAACATGACCGGGACACCATCAAAACATGACCGGGACACCATCAAAACATGACCGGGACACCATCAAAACATGACCGGGACACCATCACAACATGACCGGGACACCATCAAAACATGACCGGGACACCATCAAAACACGACCGGGACACCATCACAACATGACTGGTCACAACATGACCGCGCCACCATCACATGATCGGGACACCATCACAACATGACCGGGACACCGTCACAACACGACCGGGACACCATCAAAACATGCCCGGGACACCATCACCACATGACCGGGACACCATCACAACATGACCGGGACACCTTTTAAAACATCAAAACAGGACCGGGACACCATCACAACATGATTGGGTTACAATTAAAACATGATCGGGACACCGGGACACCAGCATCACATGACCCGGACGCCATCAAAACATGACCGGGACACCATCCGCCCACCAGCTCTGACGGTGACCCGACGGCGCCCGTCCGCCTATTAGTTTTGCAAGACCCCATAGCATGGCTATTGGGGAAAAACGAAGAGTAGGACCTAGAGTGCCTTGACGCAGATCTACCAAAACCACCACATGTCGAAAGAATGACCACCTCCCTTTTGAATAGCAAGGCCTTGATGAAGGCCAAATGAGCATCTTCAACAGAAGAAAAGACAATCACCCCGCCAGCAGAGCTTGCAGCATCGCTCAAAGCCTTCAGAAGCATCGCAGGTGATGGTGCGACTTCCCAGTTGAAAATATCCCCAGAACCCTTGATGTCGCCAACAAGAGTTCGTGATCGACGCACAGAACGAGGATCACAGGCCAAATCCAAGTCATCAATAACAGCCACCCCATGCTTCTCGAGTGACGCCACAGTTGCAGAGTACAATCGTTTGATGGCTTGTCCCTGTCCATCGCTGGACTTGTCATGACACTCAAGGGCCGTTGCCACTCCCAGGAGAGGAGCTCCCAGCTCAGCTGCTACAGCTTTCAGGACAAAGGTAACCCCATATCCTCGTCCCAAGGCTGGTGGCGATCTGAGTTCCACCAATGGCACTGCCTTGGTCTTGATTGCGCCAATCAAATTGTCCTTGGCCTTCTTCTGACTCGGGCTCATGGGGCTCATCATGGAAGATGTTCCGTTCATATTTGGCCTTCTTTACGTCGTACCAGCAGCACTGGCTACAAAGGCTAGGAAATCTTGAATTCAGTGTGCTGCCAGCCGGGCGAGTGGTTCCAACTACAAAGACATACAGTACAAAGACATTTTTATGTGCAAATGCATGCCACATGGTATGTTCTTCTTGTGTTACCATTGACCCCCCCTTCTCATAGCAGCTAGCAAACCGTTCCTCAAAACGAGAGGATGCATGGATGCACAGTACTCATTTTGCTTAAGTGCTGTGATGAAACTGTCAGGGTTAAAAAAAAAAAACACCAAACAGGCCTCGGCTTTGGATCTTGATGGACCGTTAAGAGCAGTGGTGAAGCGCTCCAACCTGGGCTTTCAACTAAACACTACAGTAACGTATATCTGATTATATCCGCATATGCATTTATGTCAGGAGGAAGAAAGTTTGGTAACAACTTCCAGTCCAGAATCTCATTAACATTACTTCTCTTTCCAAAAGGAATTCCGGCTGAGTAATCTCCATTCGGAACTGATTTATGCTTCTATATATATATATATTATTTTTTACTGCGGGGTGGAAATTACTCCTCCGGAATTCCACTGTGATCCTTGTAGGACTCTGAGGGGAAAAGGTTGTAGGTCATGTATTCATCGGCATTTGCCCCATCTGTGTATGTAAACGCGGTAGAGAGAGAGAGAGATAAAAATAGAAAGAAAAAAATATAGAAAGAAAAAGACAGATATATATATATATATTCATA